CAGACAGACAGACAGACAGACAGACAAACAGACAGACAGACAGACAGACAGACAGACAGACAGACAGACAGACAGACAGGGGAAGAGCGAGAGAGACTGCATGTTTTCAGCTCACCAAGCATTTATCAATCAGTGTGTATTGTCGATCAAGTCATAATATTTATTTATTTGTGTCACATGTCGCTTCGTCATTGGTTCACCTTTATTTTTAACTTGCCAGTAGCTCGCCTGTTGAAGCTGGCCAACGGTGAATGCTTTCTCATAATTGGTCTGCCTCTTTTCCTTCTACCATTCAACTTGTATTTTCCTTTAATCGAGCGGGGATTTCCATTCTGTTGTATTTGGGGAAATATTGACATTGTTATTATTATTAGTCTTGTTTCCGCTTATTTTGGGAAATAGTCATAAGAACAGCATGGACATTTTTTTTAAATTGTAGAAATAAAGAGTGGGTGGTTGGTGGGTGCTCTGGAGCGCTTTGCTCCTTTTTTCCTATTAAACATCTGTCTTTCTTATCTCTCCTACTTCTTCTCTTTTTAAGTTACTCTTTAGTAACACCTCTAATCTTCGACCTTTATATGCCCTATTTTGTGTTGCAAGTGTCTTAAAACTTTTAATAAAGCTAAAGCTGAACTAAGATGCAGAGGTTCATTTTGACGGTTGAGTGAAAGCTGCCTTTGTCTTGTTCCACTTCTTCTTCAACTTCTTTTTCTTTAGTAAAATAAAATATAAAATTTTTCAACCAATGTCAAGTCAAAGTAGGTGACATATCAATGCATTGCTCATTATATTTGTCATGGAAATAAACTGTGCATGCACTCATACATAAACCTAACAATTCACATTTCTCGAAACTTAAAATGAAGTGGCTACAGTACTGTTTTAAAAGACACCATTTTTCCTTTTCTGAAAATCACATGTTGTCTAAGCCATCTTTCAATATCTGAGGAAACGTGGAGTTATCACGTTCTTGCATCAGATTAATGTGTTAATTCGTGTTTGTTTGTTTTTGTTTTTTCACCTGCCTCCATGTTTATCTCTTGGTTCATTTCCTTGGTAAATTCACTTTGATTCACCTGTACAATAAAAGGCTGCAGGGGGAAAAGGACTGCTGTCACAGTGAGGAAAAAATGTTGAACATCTGCACTTTTCTTTCTCCGGGTCACCATTTACATACAGTCAAGACGACCACCCATCTTCCAGGAGAAAAGTTGTTGTTTGAGATTGATGGTTCTCTTGGACCGTGTCCTCGTAGTACATATATTTATAATATTGAGAAAAAAACAGAAAAAAAAAGAGTGGGGGAGTGGTCATTGTACAGATGGTTGTCCAGGACAGGTGGTCGTTTGAGCAGGTTTTAATGTACTGCTGTTGTTCCTTCTCTGTGAGACCGTTTGACAGTCTGTCACCAAAGTGTGGCGTGGACCCCGTGTTTAGGAATGCTTTTTGGTGGACAAAAATGGGCAAGGGAAAGAACTGGTAGAGGAGACAGGCAGGGACATAATCGTGATTACCGCCCTTTTCCCTCGGAAGTCTTCAGTTGTTTTTTCCCCGGCGGTTCCATTTAATGAGGTCATGTGAAAGCGTGCTGCAAGTCTCATCACCCAGCCACATTAAGTTAGCCTATTGTTTATGGTGGACTTGGCTTGTTCTTAACTTGGTTTGAACTTTTTAAAACGCTGTCTGTGAGTGATTTAGTAGGTTTTTCACTTGACTGATTTGATGTATATAATTCTACAGGTAGGTACTGTTAGCTACAGGCTAGTACATGTACCTCTTTTTTAGCTGTTCTGTTTCTCACTTGACGTTTTCATCAATGTGTTTGAAAAGTTTCACGACGATCTTTGTGTAAACCTGTGGTGTTGAAATCATTTTTAATGTTTCCCATTATTCACTGTCACTGTCACTGTCACTGTCACACTCATTATTTCTTTGACTTAAGCAATATTTTCTCTACTGAGCAAAAATAAATTGTATGTTTCCGAACCTGATTACATTAATGTTTGCGTTCCACTTAAGTTCCACTTAAGGCATTGCTGTTTGTGTTCCACTTAAGGCATTGCTGTTTGTATTCCACTTAATGCATTAATTAATGCGTTTTGTTGTTCTTAATTCTGTTTTTGAAACGACCACGAGCAATAGAGTAATAGAGTCACATTCCACGTGCATGGCCCTTTTTACGTTTGTGCTGGCTTTTCACGCGCAAGTACATTAGCTTTGAAATTCCTTTACATTTTCAGATGCTTTCCTTCTGTCTGTACTTTCTGATTTTTCTTTTTGGTGTAATTTGGGCAAAAGGGGGGCGGGGTGTTCTGTTCCTTTCTCTTTTCGGTCTGTTTGTCTGCCTGGGCGCCTATCTGACGGACTCCCTGACTGCCTTCCTGAATGCCTGCTTTCCTCACTACCTACCTTCCTGAATGCCTGCTTTCCTCACTACCTACCTTTCTGAATGCCTGCTTTCCTGACTGACTGCCTTTCTGAATGCCTACTTTCCTGACTGACTGCCTGTCAAATATAGCATTCAAGTAGACATGCAGGAGCACTCGATAAAAAGGACTAGCCCACTTGGGAGTCGAACTCAAGACAACTGACTACGATAGCGAGGAGCTTGGTCACTACACCACAGGCACGTCTCTTACTAAAACGAAACATGTATGCTTATGTGATGGGGGTTTGTTTGTTTGTTTGTTTGTTTGTTTGTTTGGTTGTTTGTTTGTTTGTTTGTTTGTTGTCTATTCGTCCATTGTCTTTCCAATCATTTTTTTCCGTGTGTTTACATCTCTGTGATTTCAATTTTACCTGTAATTTAGGTCAATGCATTTACTTCATTTACACCGATACTATGAAATCCTCGCCACCCACCTTCACCACCCCTT